TCCGCCCTAATTCACGTCGCTCCGCGTGACACGCGGTTACTCCTTTTCCACAAGCGCGTCCCGATTATTTTGTTCTCCCTAATGATTTTTCACCGGCCACCAATGGCAGATTTTAATCGTATCTACGTGATTTTTCATTCCACCGGCGACGAGATAGCGCAATGTTTATAAAACGAAAGATCATATTACTTCATTGTTCCATGGTCTTCTTTTGTGTTTTTTTGGTTTTTTTTTTAAAGACGTGAGCAGAGTTTATTTATTTTCTAAACGTGATCCGCAAAAGGGAATGAAAAATGTAAACGCATCGCGTCTCGATCAGTTTAACGAGCTTATGTTATCGCTGCAATTGCATGAAAAAAAAAAATCCTTTCGGATCATTGCGTTTTCTGCAAAAACAAAAAAAAACACACAAGTGGGGATATATATGTGTATGTAAAAAAGATCGCAACGCGTGTCCGCTGTGACGATCAGTCAGATAAACCGATTAAGACAACCTGCACGTTTACTGCATTCATGCCAATTTGAGAGCTGGTGATTAAAAAAACAAACGTTCGCTTTTTTCACCAAAAGTTTCGACGGAACCTCCGAGCTGATCCTGAACTGACTGTGTTTTTTTTTTTTTTTTTTTAACAGAAAACTTATCAATAAAAAATAAAATCTTAAAAAGATTTATAAGTGCCTTTTCATAGAAATTATGTAATTTAATAATGTATACGATATTGTTCTCGTTGTGAAGAGAACGAATGCTTCGGACAAAGTAAATGCGGTTTGCTGAGTTTTCTTCTTTTTTTCTTTTTTTTTTTATGAATTTCCGAGACCGAGGCGCTTTTATTAAATAACGAAATGCGAATTTCAATGTCACGTGCAGAACCGCCGGTGTCGCCATCAATATCGAACTGACACTTAATGTAACGCGTCGAAGCTTATACACGTGTTATACTTGATCCATTTTTTTTTTTTTTCACCGAAATTTTATTTAACACACACGTCGATAAGCTCTCGATACATATATATACATATATATATGTATACATACCGACGTGCGTGTTAAAATTTCAGTGAAAAAACGGATCAAGTACGCCACGTGTACATACGGTGTACACGATATATTTCATTGTGATGAAACAACCACGATTGTTTTTTCGCGCGATCGCGTTTTTCCATCATTCAAAAGGAGATCAAATTATTTTTCATTACATCCGTAAAGAGAAAACACGGATTTAACAAAACTCGACGAGAGATCCGTCGATTTTTCTTCTCGCCGCCGCTTGTTTCCCCGCGGGTGGGATTTAATCCAATGTACGTATTTCTCACGTTGCGCGCAAGAAGAGCTCGACTTTTTGGTTGTATCGGCTATTACCGAACACAACCGTCCCTTTGCGGCCCGCACACACTCCGACAGCACCGGTTGCGCTCGGATACACGGCGCAGCGAATATATATACATATATATATATATATATATATATATATATGTAGTATATATATGTGTATATATATATATAGTTGCACTCCGTCTATGCCACCAGTATTGTATAGCATGACTAATTATACTCGAGCCCGCGGGCGGATCTTGTTGCGAGGCTTCACGAGAAGCGGAAAGCACCCTATTAAATCTCGAGCTTCGGCCACCCTCCACGCGCACGAAGAAAACCACGAGACGTCAATACGAGTGCGCCAGGCGTAAGAAAGGACCGGCGGGCGGGAGTTGCATTCGTGCAACTCCACTAATCCTCCGATCCTCTCACTTTGTCTCGCAGGTGCTTCTTCATTTCCTCCGTAAATCCCCTCCCTTCCCTCGGGGCTTGGTCTAGCCGCCACTCTTGGCACTTTCCTCAAGAACGTCGAGCTGTGCGCGCGTGCATCTTTTCAATTCTTTCCATAATAACGGAAGAAGAGCCTGTACGTACTTAAATTACAGGATTTAAGAAAGTTTTTTTTTTTTTTAAAGTTACACATTCAGATTTGCTTGTTTCGGTCAAAAGTGAAATTTTACATTAATTGATGCAAAATATATATATATATATATGTTTTTATTGTAGTAGAATTAAAATAAAGAGAGAAGAGAGAGAGAGAGAAATATAAAAATAATTAAAAATAGAAATAATTAAATTGTGATTTATAGGACATAGAAAAGGTAGAGTATATGCGAAGGGATATGTATGCAAAATTAGAACGCCATTATTTACATTTTGGATCTTTTAGATATTTATTTAAACAAATCCCAACATTCCAAACATTGATAGACGTATATACGGGTGGGTGTGTCATTGCATTTGTGATTTCTTATAGACATAATATGGATCGTGTGGCAGCATATGTCGTAGTTGTATCTATATTATGTCTATATATATTCTGTTTTTTCTCCTTCTTTTCGTTAGTTTCTTTGTGTACCACCCACTGTCACACATAAAAGTACCGCCATTTCTTTCATTCGCGGACCTTGCTCGTTTTAAATTACAATCAATCTTTTTCTCGTCATAGAGAAAGAGAGAAATATTCTTAATCGAACGTTTATACACATACATATACGTACATACATATATATGTATATAAGTTCTTTTTCTTAAAAAAATTGTTTAAATATAAAAGAAAAGAGTCGCGCATTTTCTTCGCCATTAAAGAATGTAATCTCGCTAATTAGCATCTTTGTTCCAAAAACTGACAAAAAAAAAAAAAAAAACACGCTTTCACAATCGCGCCTGCTCAGAATCTATTTTCATCTCGTCATTAGTATTGAGGAATAAATCGATTTCCGATTAATTGAAAAATCTGCAAACGAAAGGAACGGCGGCAGTAAAAGGAGCTTTGACAAGACTTTGAGTCGCCTTGACCGCGCAAACGGCACAATGAAACTTAACCCTCTCCAAGAAGTTACAATGCAAATGAAGCTAATTTAACGATCGTATCCAAATTTGACGAACAACTTGTTTGTTACAGCGCAACTACGAATCGCATGTCGAACGCTTCTCTGATTTACATCACTTACATCACTTGACGCACTTAACTTTTTGACGACACATTACATGTACCGACCGATTTCGCCGAGCGGGCGATAACGCACGCGAGTGCGACCGAATCAATTATGTTAAAGTTTCTTCCGAGTTTAATTAATTAGTAGATTTAAGGTTTACTTACAGTGGCCCCTCGCGCGGTGTTTCTCTCTCTCGTTTGTCTTCTCGAAAACAAACTCAACACAGGGGTGTTTGACAACGACAACGCTTGTCTTGTTTTTGACTTCTATATATATATATACGAACTGTTTTATATAATAAAATAGTTTTGTAATAAATGCACACACATTATTAGTTTTTGTATAATCTCATTTAAAATATTATAACGTTGTACGTATATTTAAAGCAGTCAATAACATTCAAAATATGAGTGTATTACGCGTATTAACAGCCAATTTAACGTATTTAAGCACCCCCCTTCCCCTAAGAAAACCACACAAAATACAACAAACCCGGAATTCACTCTTTTCGCTTTCCGATTATCATATGTTTAATATCGCATAAAATTTACACCAGTACAGATGACTTCCAGAAAAATTAACAGTTACTTTAACAACCTACGAGGTTTTGTTGCAGCTGCGTCGCAATATTTTCGTATGATTTGCAATTCAGTTAATAATTTTATTTCATTATATTGAGAGAAACGCGAAGTCCCATTTAAAATTGATTCACGGAAAAAAAAATAACACTCGTAATTAATGTAGTAATCATTAATAATAAAATATGGCAAAATATATCATAAAATACATAAATTAAATAAAAATGTTTTGTTTTAATATATCTACGTAGAATTTATTAAAAAGAATGTAGAATTTATATTTTTAAAAAACTGAAACTCATTAAACTACAAATTATTATTAAACCAACTACAAATTAAATTGCGTAGCAAGTAGAGTAAACTATTTAATTATTTTTAACCGATAGCAAGAGAGAGAGAGAAAGAGAGAAAGTTATATTATTATTATTATTCTTAGTAATTCACAACGTTTATGTGCGCCACTCTCCAATATTGGCTGCAAGTAGGAAACTCTTATCTAAACACTTTTCTTTTACAACGGTCATCAAAAAGTTGTAGCAAATTTATAACTTTGAAACAACGCGCGACTCTACCCGCGGGCGAACTATTAAAGTTGCGGAAAACTCGTGCAGTAATACTTTGACAAATGTAAACATCACAAAGAGAGATTTTCATTTGATACCTCCGCTGCAGTTGCCTCCAGTTGTCTTCTTTATTGAAACGTTGTGCGTTGTAAAATAAATAAAAAAAAAAACAAACAAACAAATAACTTCTTTGTTATAAATCTCTATAAAATCTTGAAACGGGCACACGCGCATAAGAAGACTTAGTATAAAATCCAATGTACATGTCGTGATCGCGGTACGATTAAAACAGTTTTACTCCACTTGCTAAACGCATCGAAAGTTTTATCGAACGAATCTTTGTTTCACGTAATTTTAAAATAAAATTCTGTGCACAAAGTTATATGTTTATACGTATGAGAGCGTCTTTGTCTGTGTGCAAGTACAATAAAATAATACAACGAATAATAAAATTTTTATATCGACCAAGCTTAGAAAGCCATCTGCGTGCTCTCAAACACATTCCACTGCCATCAATCCGTTTAGTTTTGTTTTCTCTCATCACACGTATTTCTAATATTTCTTGTAGAAGGTCACATACACACACGCGCACGCACGCAAATGCACACACACACACGCACACACACACGCACGTTACACCACAAGAGCCATTATTTCACGGAAGTTTACAGAACCTCTTGGATTCATTTTCTCTCTTCGTCCCTTTTTTTTATCCACCCTCGTTTCTTTTTATCCACGCACGTCGTTCTTTATTCCGGGAACATATTACATACGGATAGCTAGGCATCCTCGTCGTTTTACAAATCTACGAGTCATCAAAGCCCAAAACTACCAATTCCTCGATTAATTCCTTTTAGTGCTGTTGCAAGTTCCGGGCCGGAGTTAGTTTTTTTTTTTTTTTTGTTTTATTCAGCCCATGACGGACACCAATGCACGCGCCTGCCGTGAAGAAGCGTTTTTTGCGCGCGTTTGCGGTTTTTTTTTCTGTTGTATTCCTGAGATCACGTCAATCCCGCCGTTCTTTGCGACACGCACTATTTATCGTGACGCAATAATTAACCAGATTATCGGAGGATTCGGCTGAAAGAGTCAACAAAACAAAAGTTCAGCCAAGATCCGCAGGTTTTTCTTTTTTTTTTTTTCAGACGCTGTCGTCCCTAAAAATCAAACGGACGAAGTCTCCTCCTACAACAAGTCTCGGATACAAAGGAATCGTCTGTTCCGTGGCCTGTCATCGCGTTTCAATCAAATTCGCGCGCTCTATACGCAAATCACAAGCCGCCGAGAACGTCTACGCAACACACTGCCGACTCGTTCACAGGACACCGTACAACCGCATGTTCGGAGCGAGTAAAAATTTATGTTTCACTTTCTTCGATGATTTTTTTTTTCTCTCCCCTTATCGTCGATGCCCGCGCGCGTCTCTCTCTCTCTCTCTCCCTCTCCCTCTCTCTTTAAGCGGAAGATCTCTTGAATAACGGGATTATGTGAACGCGCTTCTTCAGGGTATCTGGAACAAGTTTGTTGAGAGCGAGAAGTATCGAGAAGAGAAGAATCTTTTTTTTTTTTTTACTTTCGACGCGCGCGCGCGCGCGAAAACGGCCGCTTAACTTTAACCTCGTTTACAACAACAAGGTTTAAAACTCCGACGATTATATAAATCTAATAATAAATCTCGCGTGAAAAAACGCGTTATTTATTTTTTTTTCGCGAACGAAATGCTAAGGAAATAATGATTCGTCAGAGGAAGAAAATTTGCTTCGTCGGACGTGAGGAGAGAAGAGAGCGGAGCTTCTCGAGCGTCCCTGATGATAATCAGAGTTCAAAGGAGCCCCTTGCTGCACTTGATCTCGATCGACACCGTCCTCCAGTGGCGCGTTGTCGGGCGGACGGCTCTCTTCAACATCAAAGATCTCGAGAGACCGCGAGCCCTCCCTACTTATCACACGGAGATCTCTTGAATCTGCACGCGCTTCTTCGCGCTACCGGGTGTTCCGGGTTGCCGCAAAATTCCCGGGCACGTGAGGCCAACGTTGGGCGCGGGTGCTTTGGGAGGCGGGGGTGGTTCTGGAAGTTCCTCTTCGTTTTCGTCCTCGCTGTCGTTAGGCACACCACCGACCTCGTTCACCTCGTCCATCCGCGCGATCGTTGCGTCCACGCAAGGTGACGGAGTGCGGGTGCGCTGAATGCAAGGATTCTTGCTGTAGGACGGCGGTTCCAGAATTCGCTTGCCACCGCCGGGCGGCGGGGAGCACTGGAACTCCTGCAGCTGCATCTCCAGCTCCTGCACGAGCTTCGCCTTGTGCGGCGGTAGCATCGACGTCGGCGAGTCCATCAGATCTAAGGGAGACGACAATCGTTGTTTACCGGAAGCGTCCATGCCTGAACAACCGGCCTCGAGCAGCTCCTCCTTCTTCTTGCTGCTGAACGAGCCCGACAATCCGCCGCCGGACGAGCTTCGATCGCGTTGGTGATAAATCCCCGCGAAGATCAGGATATTGAGCAGCAGCAGAAACACGCCCACCACGATGGTTACGGTGAGAGCCGTTGTGTAGCTCTGATAATGGCCCGATGCCAGTTTGCGCAATAAATTGTTTGGACCCGGACCGAGATTTGAGTGGTGCTGCGTTCGCGAGGTGGTCGGGACGATAGTGGTCGCGACGGTGGCGTTTGGAGCGCATTCCGTGGTGGACAACGTGGTCAGGATTGAGGAGGGTTCCGTGGGAGATGGTAGGGGTAACGGGGGTGGCGGTAGCGGCACGGCTGTGCTCTGCGGGCGGACCAGACCCTCGTAGAGACCGGGACTCTCGGCGAGATGATGATGGCGCATGTTGATCTCGTAGCCCGGCCGGTGCAGCTGCGGTAGCAGGTTCAGCCAGAGTGACATCTTGTGACCTCTGTAGTGCGAACGCATATCCGGATTGTACCCGGCCTCCAGGTACAACTGATTTATGGGGTCGTATGAGTCCCAGAACGGCGGACTCACCGGGCCGCTGTCCGTGGGACTTGCACCGTTCGGATCCCTAGAACATTACGAGCGAACCGCGACCCTTTGACAAGTGGACTGACAACAAATCTCAAGCACGCGCGCTGTTTTTTCTCTTGCTGACGATAGAAGTTTTATCATTTCAAGAAAGTTGAACGAAAGAACATTTTTTTTTTTTGTAAAATCAAACGCGACTGTTTGCTGTTAGATTTAATTTTTTTTTACACACAACACACGATATTATTTTATTTTATTTAACGTGAAATCGGAAAGTTAGCGTGCTTATTGTGTGTGCACAATTTTTTACTCGTAAAATAAAATATACTTTTTCTCAATTTTTGAAAAAAAAGTTGAAAAGTCAAAGTTTTGAACAAAGCAACCTCGCGCACACATGTCGCAATCTCGTGCGATAATTTGCGGCAAAGTTTCGCCGCGAGAAATCCTCCCGTGTCGATGACACAGTAATCATCTACCGATAGCCACCGATCCGCAATTAGAGAAGCCAAAATCACTTCGCGTCTTCTCCACTAACAACTCTACTTCGAGATTGCGAGCTTTCGCTGAGCGCGTTAACGGCCTTTGCGGGAGTTTGCTACCAAAATCCTCTACCCAGTTGTAACTTCGGACTTGCCACTACTACTAATACCGCTATCACTACTACTACTGTTACTACAAGTCTTTAGACACTCCTCACAGAGAGAGTAATCGAAGTGTATGTGATGCTTAAGTTTCGAAGAACTTCGAACCGGCTGAATTAACGAAGAACCGCGCGCTCTGCGTGTGATCACTTATCCGATTAACCCTTCATCAGCCACGCTCGAGTTATCTCGCGTCGTTTATCAAACGATTGATGATTCTCGCTTACTTTATTCAATAAATAAAATGAATGATGCGTCAAGTAACCGCGACAGTTAATCACAATTAAGAACCAAAGAGATCTACAAGTATTTTATATTCCTGTTTATATTTGTTTTTTGTTTTTGTTTTTTTTTCAAAAATAAACTAATTCTCATTCTCTTGACGGGTTTAAACACAATTTGTGTCGCTTGATCATCAATTTATTTAGCTGAGAGATAAATAAAGACGAGTAGCAAAACCACTTACCCTTGCCTTATAAAGTTAGCTAAGTAGTGCACGAGAAGCTTCGACAGATTCTCATCGGCTGAGGTGTAGTTGCTTAAAGTGGACAGCGTGGACGTGGACTCCCCGCGGAGAAGAGGTACACCCAGAAGATACGGTAGCTCCTCGCCCCTCTGACTCGGCCGTTCGCCAGGTTGGAAGTGCAGGAAGTAACCCCGTCCCGTGGTGGTGGAGGTGGAATGCAGCAGAGCCAATCTGAGGAGAGGCGCGGCGACCTGACCGTCTCCGAGGAGAGATAAGAGACCCTCGCAGATCGCCACGGGACTCTGCTCGCCCCGTTCCCAATCGGTGTACTCGTTCCGAAGAGTCGAGTAGATTTCATGCAGATGGTACCGATAAGTATTCCGGACGTAAGTGCGCAATATGCGATCCCTTCTCGTCTCGTTCAAGCCGCTCTGCGAATAGTTGTCCGCTTTTTCACGATGCGGATGTGACACCGAATCGAAGAGTTGTGTGCATAATCGCGCGATGACAAGTACACGTGTTTATTCAATATATGAATGTTTCTTTATAGAGAGTGCAGACAGAGAAAATTGCTTACAAAAGTGAAAGGATAGAAATTTCTTGTAACAAAATTGCGTTCAATGTTTCGCAAATTTTAAAATAACCGAACAAATAAAAAAAACAAATTGACAGCTCAAGTACAACTAAAAATAAGAGTCGACACGCAATTTTCTCGAGTGTAAATTACACAAATTTGCCCGTAAACTCTTCGTTCCGTTTTTTAAAAGCAATCGTCGGAATAATCTTGGCAAGTGATGCAATATTTTTTTTTTTTTTAATATTTTCGATCTTGCCGCCGCAATATGTTGGATAATCGTTGTGGAATAATCAGCGGAAAATATCGTTATTCGCGTCAATTTAACTGAACGACATGCCGTGATCAATGCATCTCTACACGTGAATTATTAATTCCATCATAATCGTAAGGTGGAAAGACACATGCTACTCAGTGGCCGTGACCGCCGCTATGTCAATAATATCCGGAACAATTGGCACAGAAGCGCGCAGACTCGCAAATGCTCATCGTGCGTAAAGCTCATCAATTCGTCAAACTATATCCAATGGATGTCAATTACATATTACGCACGGAACGCCGATCATTAATCAGAGAATCGCTTCCGCTCTGACGCGAGTTTCTTGACAATCAATACGGACGTCAGAGAACAAGATCGAGAAATTAGATGAAAAAATTAATTAATTTACTTTCTATCGAGCATGGTAAACAAATGTATGTATGTTATATATATATATATATTTTTTTTAGCGCGTGACTGAAAAATCACAAAGCTCTCACCTGTAAATCTTCCTTGGTGAGATTCACCCAAGCTTCCTCGGACGTCAAACCAAAAAGTAAATCGCGATCGCCGAAGTCCGCAAATTCGACGCCGGGCCCGGGCGCAATCGGCAGTAGTCCCGAAGAAGAGGCAGTGGGCTGAAAGTTCTGATCAAATCACAATTTTTTTTTGTTTTTATTTTTTTTTGAAGCAACAACACGCGTCTCAATAAAGCGCGTTGTTCATCATTCCCAATGTCGGATCAATTTATTGCTCTTTCCTTCAATAAATCCACGTGCACAACAATAGAAATGTTTTGCGAATCGTGAGTTTAACGAGGTTTAAAAAACAAAATCGCAATCTCGCAGTGATTTGTAACATCGTTTATATGTGTTTCTCTTACTCCCGCGTCATAATATCGCGAGTGCGAGCAACCAGATACACTATCAACGGATGAGTTAATGGAGCATGCATGAAGTAGCTATTACGGTCCTCGGATCCGTCATCCGTCAACCGGCTACCTGTTCAATTAGCAGATTCATCGTTTACCTGTCGTCTCGTTCGCTCTTGCGCAAAATCAATACACCGCGCGCCGACCGCGCCGACCGGCCGCCGAGAGCGCCCGCTCAGCCGACATCGAGAGCTAATATCTCTCTCGCCGTTATATACAATAATACAATTTCAACGTTTCGCGAAATCCCGTTCTGATAAAATACTTCTCGCGACCGATGTCTGTTTAGCACTCGCCATTTGCAATTATTTACATCTTGTGTATGCGTGTGTGCGTGTGTGCGCTCGCGCGTGCATCAGCAGGCATATCCGACGTGCAATCTGCGTAAAAACCAAAAAAAAAAAAAAAAATCACACGCATCCGATGCTAAACAGCGATGCGTATTGTGTGTATATACAAATTTGCCAAACACGTAGGCACGTGGTGTAAATGCAAATTTTATGAAAAATGACGTTATAAAAGCCCCGTTTCGTTCGCTGCGTCGGACGGTTTCGCGAAAAACGACAATTAACATCCGGAGTGTCACGCGCAGAGATAAACGTGTGTATGTAAAAATTTTATTACATATACGGTAAAAACTATGCAACGAAGACAAATTGATGTAAGACATTTGTGTGTATATACGCGCGCGCGTTTTTGAGACGCGTTTCATAATTCTCGACTAGATTCTTTCTCCTTCGGGGTTTCCCCAATCGACCATAAGCTGTTATTAAAGGTAAGTGCGACGTGATAATTAAATTAGAGTTAACGACGTGCTAAGACCGATGCAATAAACCGAGGTAGGGTCGTAAAAGCGAGCGGAAACGGCCGCGTTTGGCTAGCTCCTCTGTCTCGGGACTATCGATTATCGAAGGAAGGGAGAGAGAGAGAGAGAGGGAGAGAGTCGGCAAATCGTCTTTACCTGATTGACCGTCAGCGGTAGAACGGCGCCGTCGATGAAGGGCGCAAATCCGGAAGTGAATCTCGGCGGGTCCAACTCCACCGCCAGTAGCTGTTCCACGTTCTTTAAACGAAGGCACGGTGCGATATCGTCGGTCTCGACGTCACCGGGGCATTCGGTCTGATTGGCGACTCGACGCTTCACCGTTAGCGGATCGCGCTGAACCGCCCATGGCGAGAGCGCCGAGCCACCTAGCAGAATCACCCTCCCGATCAACTCTGCAAATTCGCCGGCGAGAGCTCCCGCTAATTACAATATAACTGGGCAAAACGACGCTGAGATATATAGAGAGACAGAATGTCCGATGAAGCTCCAATTATTTTACGAACAGCGATGTATTATTTTATATGTGCGTTGGCGCGGTTTATTATTTTAAAACTCAATATTCCCGCCGCGAAAAATCGGAAAATTTTCTCTTATCATTTTTCGACACATAAAAAGGTCATACAAAAATTGCGTTTTTTTCCTCTCTCGCGCGCGTTGATATTCAAACTTAATAATATTAAAGTTCCTTCTGCTAAAAAAAAAAAAAAAAAACAGACCTTAATATCGTTAGATCTTCAACATCGCTGTGTGAATCGGTGAAAATCGTTCGTATACAATTAAATTGCAATTTAATTTTTCTCTCGCAGATTATTGCGATTTTTACATCATCGCACAGCGTGAAGATGCACCTGTGAAGAATGTACCAGAAAGAAATCATCAATATGCTCGATAATGACACTGTGGTAATACATACAACTTACAAAACATGTAAAGTACAACAGGCCGTATGACAGATTTACATTGATAAATAAACAAAGCAGACGTTGTCAAAAAAATGTCTCGTTGACACATGTTGTTCGCGCGTTTCATCGGCTTTTTTTATTTTATTTTTTCAGTTTTTTTTTTTTTTTTTTATCTAAGCTCGAACGAATGTAACCCGCGTCAGATGCAAATGCGAAAATTGTGATATACGTTTAACCGCGGCGCGCTGTGTGGATTGACGTTCGCGCGCGCGCGCGCAAAAAAAAAAAAAAAACGCTATATACTCCTTACCTTTCGCCATCGGGGAGACGGCTAAAAAATTGGCGAGAGCCGCCCCGGTGCCGTGGCCTAGCAACACCAGTCGCTGAGGATTGCCGCCAAAAGCCGAAAGATTCTCGCGCAGCCAGTGAAGCCCCGCCACCAAATCCATCAATCCGTAATTGCCCTGAGCGTTCCCCTTCGATCCGGTTTTCAGAAAGCCTGTCGTTTCAATGCGGCCGAATTAGGAAGGCGATTCATTTACTGCGAGAGATAGATCGACGACGTTATACGCGTTAGAATCTCCCGGTGCCTCCCGGTGTGATATTTCTTGACGCGAGTTGATTTTCACGAGATTAATTTGCAACAAGAGAAGAAGAGAAAGAAAGAGAAAAAGAGAGAGAGAGAGAAAAAAAAAAGAAATGTCACAACACGTGCCGTTCCACGCGAGTAAAAGTTTGCGAAAAAAAAGTTGTTGCAAAACTCAAAAGATCTAATTTCCGAATGACACGATTGTCCTCCGAGAACGTATTGCGCTTTTACGTGTCTCTCGCGCTTTGTCCTTATCGCGCAGGCGTGATCAAAGAGTTAAGATCAATCGCGTCGACTACGAAACTCGCAGTAAACCATAGAATATCGCGCAATTATTTCTGGCGTTTGTTTCCAACAGAGGGAGAAGTATCTGATATCTTTGTTAATTATTACATCGAATTAGTTATCGCTGCGGGGGGCGCGAAAGCCAGGATTATCTGGAATGTGTACGCGAACGTGGTTATTGTAACGACGGGCAACTCTGAGAGATCGGAAGATAAACCGGATTAAAATTAAACATTTGCTCGCCCCACGGTGCTCAATTCCGTTCGCTTCAATTTACGCCATACACTCCTACACGGGTTTGTCACTTTGATTCGCCATCTGCCTGCGAGGCGAGTTTTTCATTTCAATTCAATCCCGGCTTTTAATCCCGTCCATATCTCTGCTGGGAGTAGTGCAATGTTCTAATTACACTCGTATATTTAGCGTCAGTAAAATATCATGGAATATTGTTACACGTGTGTATAAAAAAAAAAAAAAAAAAAAAATACTAATATTCCTCAAATGTTGCTCGGTGATATAAATGTTTAATAAAAATTGTTTCAAGAGAGAAAGAGAGAAAGAGAGAGACGTGCCGAGAAGCAAATAATTTCCGATCGTTTCCACTCTTTTTTTGTCTGATTATTTACATTTATCACGCAAATAAATAATTTATCTATTTGTTTAACTGTTTCGCCAAACAAGCAATCTGTAAAATTGTAAGCGCAAAACGAACGTCGAGCATTTAATTACGAACCGATCGTGAGTGATTCATTGATACCGTCAGGTCTGATACATACAATGATACATACTATGTGTAAACACCGGAGAATAATTGGCGCATAACGGGTGAAAAAGCGCGAGTAATAAGTGGAATGGTAAGAAAAAAAAAATGAAAGAGAGAGAGAGAAAGAATCGAATCGGCCGCGCGATATTGGATAACGCTGCGGGTATTGTTTCCTCTTCGACGATGAACAAAAACTGCAACGTTACCGACAAAGAGAGAGAAAGAGAGAAAGAGAGAGAGAGAGAGAGAAAAAAAGAGAGAGAGAGGAGAGGAGAGACCAAACCCCAGCTGCGGTGTGGCGAAAATACGGCGCGTTATCGATATCGAAAATTGTTCCTCTGGTTGCGCCCCGGGCTTTTTTCATGAATGGGAATGCAAGGTTGTAAACTCCACGCCTGTGTGTACGTCTTTGATAATATGATGTTTTTATCGCTTTATTTTTGATCGCCACACACGCAACTTTTTTAAAATTAAACGCGCAAAAAAAAAATATATACATATATATAGCAAGCGGGATATTAATAATCAGTTATACCATTGTGACGTTTTGCAGCGACAACAAACTAATGTGAAAATCGCTTAACTGCGAAATAAAAATGCAACGGATATGTGAGATGAATTAATGAGAAATTGCAACTTGAATATCAGAAAGAAGGAGGAAACAAGAGAGAGGAGGAACAAGAGAGAGAAAGAAAGAGAGAAAGAGAGAAAGAGAAAAATAGAGAAAAAATATACCCGATACAATAACTCCGCGTTTTGAATAAAAAAAAAAAGAAAAAAAGAAAAAAGAGAAAAAAGATTTACCGCATAATTTTCTTCCGTAAATTCTAAACGGGATACGCGTCGATATATTCGCAACGTGCGAATATTTACGCTCGACTCAGCTCGGCTTTTTTGCAATGCACCAGTTAAAATTACGTGCGCGACATTTAGCAGATGTTCAAAAGCCGGCTGTGCGATGAACGAGTGCGAAAAAAAATGTACTCGCATGAAAACACCCGAGAGAAGCCTTACGTGTACCCTTCTTCGTCCTCATTAAACCCTCCCTTTGTCTCTTCCCCCTTTGTGCCTGTTTTTTTAATTTTGGCACACGCACGAAAACAGACGCGCGTCTCCTCGTCCCGTTGAATCAACAGAGAGACGAGGCAACGGAGACGCGCGCGTAACTCCTTTTCCCGCGTTACATTTTACATTTCAGGTGACGTTTTTAAAAGTCCCCGACCGTCGCAGAAGTAACAACCCCCGCGGGAGTGTTCGCGCGCGTGTACAACCGCCGCGGAAAGTAATCTCTGGCAAAATCCCGAACAAACTTTACTCCTACCCCCCCTCTCGCTGTCGCGAGTAATGAGATCATTCCTCCGAGTCTGTCGAAAGAACAAAGGAGCCGGTCGCCCCATATAATAAACAATGCAGCGTAAACTCTCAGAGCGCACTTTATAATCCGGAAACTTTTCTATCGGCTCTCGCGCCTTAAGGAATACGCGACGCGCATTATCTTTTGTCGCATCGGGTTTTCCGTTGTGTTTATGCCTCGGACAATTACAAATTTGTTTTGTTTTGCCGCAATGCGCGCGCGAATTTACATCAAATCTGTAAGTGTAACGTAATATACGTTTCGGTTTTCGATAACTTTAATTTATATTTTATTCGAGAAAACATTGCTCGCCTCAATCGCGTGTACAAACGAACGACGCGAACCTCCGAATCGTTTATATTACGCGCGATCGTTATTGTTACTTCCGCTCGGAAGTTACATTTCTGAAAGTGCAGATTTAGCAACGTAAGTGGTATTTCTCTTTAAAAACTGCTGTGTTCCAGTCTTTTCCGCGTACGCTAGGCGCGGTTCGCAAATGGGACCGAATAAAATAATCGTGAATCTGTTCTCTAAGGAGCGTGTTCCGAGCCAGAATATAGAAAAACGAGACACACACACACACACACACACACACACCGATCCGCGGTCTCGTTTGATTATTACCGGCAGTGTTTAGGAATCTACGGTGTATCTACGTAGATGCACGGGGCGAACCTATAGATTTTCACTACTGCCGGTAATAACCGCGAACAGATCCCTTGTCTCTCTCGATGAGGCAAATACATTCTCGCGCTTGGGCGCGCTTACCGAGCACTCCGAGACGAAAATTGATGGAAACGACGATGAGGCGTCCGTGAGCGGCCAGAGCGGTCCCGTCGAATGAATTCCCGGCGCCCCACGAATAGGAATCGCCATGTATGAGAAGAAGAGTCGGCAGCAGATCCTTACTACCTGCAACATCAAGAAGAACATTCTACCACAACATCTCTCCATAAACATGATTTTCGACGGAAAAATGCGCGACACAATTGTGTACGCGCGCGATACACATATATGCGCACACACACAAGTATAATGAATACAAATGTTACAAGAAAACGCGCGTCTCTTAAGAATTAAAAAGAAACGCGGAGAGGGACCAGAAAATCTCGAGAGAGAGAGAAAGAAAACCTGATCGGGAATTTTCGATAGAAACTTACATACATATGTAAGAGTGGCTCCCCAGATAGGGAAGCGATTTTATATAAGTCTTTGTTTACGTATTATAATCGCGCGCAACACAGCAAACGCGCGCTGTGTGTTTTTTTATAATTTCGAGTTTTATCGGGGCGAAAGATAAAACATGAGAATCGCATTTAATGTTTCGCGGAATATAATGGTACGCGATCACACACATTTTTATTTGTATGAAATGTACAAGCAAATAAATGTCTACGAACGTTTGCGCGTACACTCACACATGTGTATATATATATATATATGTACGCGCGCGTACACACACACATTACAAATGTTATTTGTTATTGCACAATAAATCGCGCGAATTTCCGCCGCCTCGCGCGCTGTCGGTCTAAAAATAAACGTATAACATATATTTTCTATAAATGTATAACTTACGATTTAATTTGCAATTTCGAATTTATATGCCCCGTGTACTATCTATACACGTACAGTGATCTAAACAGATTACATACATTTCTGCGCGGTTGTCAAACGCATTCTGAAATAATTGAAATATTACACGAATTAGTGCGAACAAAACGCGCGAAAACGGTTTCTCTCGTATATATAACATAAACAAAAACTTTTGATATAAATATCGAAAACACACGCGTTCGCACATTTTATATAAATCACAGCTATAAAAATGTTTTTGGGAAAATAAAAGTTTTTTTGTGTTTTTTAAAAAATTATACAAGCCGCTGCATCTACAACCGCAGGAAGGCATCTTCTTCTAACGGCGGATTGTGATCCGCCGAAGTGTGTTCCGCGACGATCAAAATCACATAATCATTTCACGAACACGCCATCCTGCCTAAGTGATAGCAGCCGAGACACCTGTTGCGATCTTGATAGGACACGCTAAGCGACAGATAGTTAAGTAGGTGAGCGAACGCGTCGCGTTTGTGAGAGATTCCGCTGCGCGCATTTTTTTTCTCTCTCTCTCTCTCTCTCTCCGTTGGAAACTGCAAAAACCCGCACGCTCTGTGTGGTTACGTGTTCGCTCGCAATCATATCTCGAAACACTTTTAGGCAACTCGAGTATTTTCAATGCTATCGACTTCTCTCGTCTTCGCCGCTCGATTTGTTCAGTGACGCAGTTCACCGAGATATATTTACCAAAACACTTTGAACTTTATGTTTTACTTATCTTTTCACGCTTTTCACCTAGCACTACACTAAATTGCATAATTTTTATATAATTTTTTTTTTTACATGTTTCTTGCCCTTTCTCAAAAGAGGTGTCTGGTCTTTTGTCTTTCTCGAAACCGCACTAGAGGATTGTGTGTAACATATTACAGGAGAAGAAAGATCGCAAGTTCTAGTTTCGCACGTACGATACATAAGTAGTGTGACATTAACGTCGCTCCGCCGGGGGGTCGCGGGCGCGCGACTGTTCTGAGTCTCTTTACATTCTAACTCACACGGCGTGTAACGTGATTACATAACAACGTCGTCGGGAGTGGAAAGATACCGGGACCAATAAATTCATAAGGAAGTTAGGAGAGATTCGGAAACGAGGTAGCTTTTTGAACGACCCCCGACGTATATTAGGTAGCAAAGTTTGCCCCTAATGCGAAAAGGTCGTTATCTCGAAGTCTTAACGAGAGATCGCAAAGTCGTTATCGTGAACTAACAGCAATTTTAAGACGTTCCAATGGAGAACTGAATGGAGAGGAATAAAAAAAAAAAAAAAAAAACACGGAAGAGATCTTCACATGTTCGTTAATTGGCTCCCATATTACGTGACGTGTCACGGAGCGGCATCTTCTGTCTAGCGGTTTCCAAAAGTTCTTCCGGGAGGGGGGCTAAACTTTTATTTCACAGAAAATCTAGTCGCGAAGAAATTTAGAAATCAAATTTGCGCGTCAAACAAACAAATAAATGTGTTCCACAAAAGTTTTTCTCCCAAAAGACGCATAATTCAATAAAAAAAGTTACTAAAAGAACAAAAACATCATCCCGCGCAAATGAACAATTTGTTTTTGATTTATGTGTGAAATTCTATTCTACCATGCATTCGTCGCAAATAATTCTGGATTTTCGAGAGTAGGTGGCGTGTTTGTTTCAACGAATAAATGAGTCGATTCGCGCGCGTAAACGTCTGCGCTCGGAATGCTCTTTATTATCGCCTCTCTCTGTCTCTCTCTGTCTCTTTCTCTCGCTCTCTCTTTTGGATCTCTTTCTCTCTCTCTCTCTCTATCTCTCTCTTCTCTAGATTAACGTCGTAGCAGCTCTAAATCAGGAGAACGTCGATCCGATACGGAGCCGCCTCACTCCCGCGGTGCTTGCAGGTTCTCTCACGTGAATCGAATAATCGTCTGCAATGCACTACGGAATTGAGGATGCAACGCATCCTTACACTTGCATTCCTTTACAGCATTCTATCTATCTATCTCTCTCGCTCTCTCTCTCTCTCTCTCTCCTTTCTTTCCTCCTCCCTCTTTCTCCCTCTTTCTCTCTCTCTCTCTCTCTCACTCTCTCCTTTCCTTCGAGAAGCTCCTTTCGTCGCCGCTTTATCTTGTTCTTCCAATACTCCGGGTGCTTCGGATCTCGGAGTCCGCTTCATTTCTTCTCGTATGCAGCATCCGGTTCTCGCCATTGTGCCAACGCGAGGCATCCTGGTTTCTCATCATTTCCCAGATAAAAGTGCGCTTTATTCTTTCATTCTTCACAGCGACGAATTCCTCCACACGCGAGGCACGCGAATACGCACAAAGCTGCGGGATGCTGCTCGATCGGCGAAAAAGACAGACGGATGATTTCGCGAGAGCGACGCTCTTCTCCTTCTTCTCCTCCTTCTTCTTCTTCTTCTTCTTTTTCTTCTTTTCTCTGTGTCTTCTTTTCTGTCTTCTTCTCTCTCGCCGTGTTCCAAATATTATTTTCACGTGATACGCATTCATCGATATTCGGAAAATTTCTTGTGTGCCGAAGTGTAAGTGTGTATATCGCCCTCCTCCCTTCCTCTTCTCGTCGTATGGAATATTGTGTGCTAAAAATCTCTTTCTATACAAAATTTTCTCGCGTTTTTATGTTGCGCTCATATTGCTGCGAATGTGCGATACTTTTCCATTGCCCAAACTTATTTACCCCTCCGAACACTTATCCATCATCCTTCGATTTTTTTTTTTTTTTATGACAACAGTTGCGGGCGACGCTCACGCGAGACTCAATGCCGAAGAAATCAGACACTCGTCATCTTTACATTGTGAAAAATGTGATCTACACACACACACACACACATACATATATGTGTTACATAAATTTTTAATAATTTAGAACGATTCACATTAAATCTAACTAATACAATCCGTAATTAGAATAAATTTTTATATCAAAATAAAATAACGTGTGTTTTTTGCAAAATTGCGATCATAGATTAAGATAATCGATCTTGCATTGTTTTACCGCTCGATAATACAACTGACAATACAGACGGAGGATGAGACGAATGGCATCGCGAGTATTTCGGCGGATCTATCATTTACGGTTACGAGCTTCGTCGTCGTTGCGTAATAACAGATGTAGGAATATAACCGTAAAAGTAATTTCGCGACGATGATCCGAGAGATGTGGGAGAGCTCTGAATCTGCCGTATGAACGCCGCAATACCGCTAAAATAAGCACGAATTCCGTATGATGCACGACATATTACGCATTCCTTCTTCGCGCAATCTACGTATCATTTGTAACCTTCGCGCGTATTTCATCCGATGCGCGAAGCTTTCGTTTCGGTTGTGGATTTCGTTTTTTTTTTTTTTACGCGAGAATTTTTCAGCGCAAATAAGGAAGAGATTTTCAACCTCGTTCTCTGCCTCGCTCATTTTTCATCTCCGCGATAATAATAATCGAGCTGGATTAAAAAAAAAAAAAAAAAACATTTCGCGCATATCCTATTTATGTATACGATATTCGCAATATCGCGGCACGGTGTCGCTCTGTGTTTGCGTGTGCGCTCTGTGTGACGTTCCCCTTTCCCGTAATTTAAATATATCGATGTCGCGGAAACGAACGCGCGCAAACACGATTCCGGAGGAACATGTCACCCGACGTCCAAACGCAGGATGGGATATTACCCGGGCGCTTAATATTACAGTCGCAAACACAGCCGCGCCTCAATAACATGTTCAATTCGCGGACGTGCTCGCCGAAGCGGCTTAAGCCGCCGTCTGAATTTTCCGCGACGATATCCAGAGAGATGGGAAAGATCGGAAACTAAGCTGCTTACGTGCAAGTATAAGCGGCGTCGACGACGACGACGACGACGACGACAACGATGACGACGAGCGGCGAGAGAGTCCTGTACGTTGCAGCAACCCTCCCTCGTCGGCCGAGACAAGCACGGGGAAAAGAAAAAAAGTCGCTCGCTTTCTGTGAAAAACAGCAAGAGGATTCAACGCGCGATAGCAAAGAAAGCAACGACGGATCGTTCTCTTTAATCCGGCTGAAACGTCGGGTAGTTACGACTTTTTATTCGACAGCATAATGGCCGTCTCTCCTCTCTCTCTCTCTCTCTTTCTCTCTCTCTTACGATGGATAACCATGGAACAAAATGGGAAAACCGTGGCTCTCTCGCGGCACGTATCGCAGACAGACGTTCGTTGTAACGCGCGCTTATCTTCGCTTTTACAAGAATATCAAAGACCCCACGCGAGATTTCATTTCTAATTAATTCGGTATCATCTGATTAATCACTTCAGTGTTTCTCCCGTCAAGATTTTATTCTTCCTTTATCAATGCGCTTCCGCGAGAAAAATTCTGAATTCGCGTGTCGTGATGATATGAATTTAACGCGTTAACGAGTGTTTGGTGAACAGATGTCCTTTTTTCTTTTATCTTTTTTTTTTTTTAAGTAAAGAGAAGCAACTTGTTTTAAAATTGAAATAAAATCCGCAAATGAACAGAAATATATTACAAACATAGAAATATCACATAAACATAAAAATATCACACAAACGATTCGATATAAACGGGTGTAATCCTCCGAATCGCGTTTTTGTTCAAATATTTAACGCGAGATAAATTTTGCATTTTGCACCCGGCTATTCATTTCCATATCTACGATCCCGTAACATTGAGAGCGCCGCGTTTACGCTTCATCTGAAAGTCTCGCTTGTATTCGCGAAAACGTCTCGACGCGCACAGATCGATTCGTTCTTTTGTGTTGCCCGTTTTCCATCCCTATGTTTAAGAGCCGACGAGAGAAAAGACGACTGACGGGGAAGAGAGGGAGAGAAGGGTGGGAATGGGGTAAAGGTAAGAGAACGCGTTATAAAGTAGGCGTTTCTTGCGAGACGGAAACTGGTATCGTGACGACGCGGGATCGCGGGCTGTTAAAATCGTCCCATCCAAGCTTTTTCTCGACCGCGAAAGAGATGCGATATTTTTCTCTCTCCTCCCGCTTCTCTCGAGCGGGACTTACGCCGTATTAAACGACGAAATTAGCTCTAACAATCTGCCAGAATCCTTCGCCGGCGAAATAAATTGCTTGCGGTCGTGCCATAATCTTCTTGCGCTTCTTTACACTTTCATATCTCAGCAGAAACGTGCATGTATACTATATATATATATATAAACGTATATATCAAACGGAAGACATATCCCCGAGTCATTAGTGGTGCGCGATGTCATCCGAAGATTACGCATGGATTATTCATCGAGACTTTAATATTGGCTAAATTCAGAGATCGCTCTAAAATTTTTTTTTCTTTCTTTTTTTTTTTTAACAGGAAGAAGAAGATTATATTCGAGCAATTAAGGTCGACATCTGCGGCGAACTGTGTGGACTCTGTAGCAAATTTCAGACCCAGGGAAATAGAGAGAGATGTGAAACTCGAGATTTTACGAGAATATAACGCGAATATAATGCGCGAAACGATAGGATAATTTGTCTAGGCAGATATTTCCCCGTGTTTTCGTACAAATACAAATCGTTCGCGTGTAAATTTAAACGTGTGTGTGTGTGTTTCCACGTTGATCAGCGTTTCGCTGATATTCAGAGCGCGTCTCTGAAATGTTGCCATAAAGCATCTATTATATACGTGTGTACATATGTGTGTGTATATATATACATATATACATATATTAAATCTCCTTATATTACAGTTTACCCCTTTTCCTCGTGGCGTCGCGAAAATGGCCGTATCGCGCCGTAGTAACGGTCGCGTGTGAGCATCGCCTCGCAGATAAAGAAGAGATCACGCAGAAATATTCGCCGCGGCGAAGTACAAAAGTACGACACTTATTTCTACAAAAGTTTATGAAAATTGAGTTTGCAAAGAAATAAGCGTCAGTGTATATACAGCCAGCGTGTAACATAAACTTTTTCTACAATCTACGTGATACATTTTTCTACGTAATACATTTTTTTTTGTTTGTTTTTTTGTTTTCTCGAACGCAAAAGTTTGCGCAGAAATTGAGCGAAAAGCTATACAATGGGCGCGTGCAACACATTTTTGCAACCGCGAGCCATTAACGTTCGTCTACATAAAGACGTGCAATTTCACGTTTCAATGAGGGAAGATAAATTTCATTCCCAGGTAACTAACATAATTTCCAACGACCGCGCGTCTCGCTCGCTCAAATCCCACAAATCTAACAGGATCGCGCGCGCACGTTTCGCCGTGAAAGAGAAAAGTTTGCGCGAGCGCGCACACACGTGCGTGGGCTCTTTCTCTCCTCTCTCTCTCTCTCAACTTGTCGCGCGGAATTATACGCGCGCGATGTCACGCGTGTGCCACACACAACGGCTGCATTCCCGATAACGCCTCGATAATCAGATTATCGCGGAATGAAATTGCATCTCTCGCCTGCGCTTTCGCCGAAGTTTCGAGCAATCTCTCTAAAATTGAACGGGGCGCGCACGTTTCGAAACAGAATCTCGCGGAGATATACAGTCAAACGTAGCGGCGCTGAAAAGACTTCAATTTTTTGTTTCCTTTTTTTTTCAGAGAGTTTTACCTGCGTTTTATATTTTCGCAAGATATTTTGCGCTCGACAAAGTCGGGGCGCAACGCACAACGCAAATTTCGAAAGTTTACGTGCTGTTTTACGCGAGAGAATTTTATTTAGGATTTAAACGCACACACAAAGAATAAAAAAAAAGACAGGATTTTAATTAAAATTTATAACTTTTTCAGCAATTCTGTGTGCACGAAATATATAGAACGTTTGACTAAAAACGGGTTTTGAAAACGGGTTTTCTAAAAAAAAAAAAAATACGCTTTATTAAATAGCTAGTTTTCTTCCAAGGAAAATTGTCTCCGACTGTGAAAAAGTGTTCAATGTTTTTTCTCTTATGTAAAAATACTAGTTTCGGGAGAAAAATCTCACATAGACGACTCACCGTGAGAAAGTTTGGGCACGTAGAGGTTCAGATAGAGGCAGTCTTCGCTCTGGTTGGCCAGCATGGGCGCTAGCCTCTCGAGGTAGGCGCGCTTCTGCCGCGGCAGACTCGCGTCCGGTTTGGGCGGGCGCTGCGGACAGGCCGGCGGCATGGTGTCGGCAAACTTGGTGCCGCGCCACGGGGTCGGAGTGACCGGCGGCATGTAGCGCAGCGCGCCGAGTGGCGGTGTCGCATACGGCACGCCGTAGTAAGTCTCGACCGCGGTCGACGATCTGGCCTCGACGCCGCGCAGAACGCCGTACCGCGTCTTGACCGTACGCGTGGAATACTTTTGCGTGCCGGCGAGGGCATCGGTGCCCGCGAGGTAGCACTGAGCGCAGATAAGCGCCAGCAGAAAGGCGCTCTTGACGATGCCGCCGGCAAACGGAACTTTAGGAATGATCTTCTCACTCGCGATATCCTTCGCACTTCGTCGCCGTCTCCTTCGTCCCCTTCTCTCGTCGTTTTGGTTCTGCTTTCCGCGGCGACCTCTTCGTTCGCCGCACTCCTCGCCGCCGGAAGTTGCACCGGCATGCTGACTGTTCGGTTTCCCGAGTAATACCTTACGAAATGTCGCCGAGGGACAGTCTCGTCCTTCATAAAAAACATCGCAGAGTCCTTGTTGACGCGAGGTGACGATATCGAATCGCGGGAAACATCGTTGTCGTCCGACGCGTCTAACTCCAGACGACCACCGGCCATTGTTGGCGTGGTGGACGGTGTCGAGAGGCGAGAGGTCTTTCCTCTTCCTCTTCCTCGGCAAAGAGGAGGAGGACGTCCGCATCGCGTCACGCCGCCGCGGACTGGCCCCTGCGGGCCCCGCATCTGTGGGGCCCTCCTGCCGATGGACGACCCCCTTCGTCCGCCGCTTCCGACTTCCTTTTTCCGCTTCTATTCGCCGCTTTACCGTCTGTCCTTTGTCCCCCCGCCACGGATTTCGGCAGCTTTTTGCGTCTCTCTTCCTGCACCCTTTTTCGCACCACCACCGTCGCTGTAACCGTCGTTATCTCGTCGAAGCCGCCGTCCACTCTCTTCCACTGCTTCCGATATGGCTTGCCGCCACCTCCAATCCCGCGCCCTCCGAGCGGCTTTCGATCCTCGTTCGCCGTCTCGTATTCAAAATACCGACTCGATGCTACTATCGTTCTGCTGCTGCTGCTGCTGCTGATCGACTCCGAGCAGATGCTCACTTCCATTCTCAGGTACGTACGTTGCCCGCGCTGTCGCTGAGCTGCCAAGCTGGCGACCGATCGTCGTTGACGCGCTGCACGACGCTGCTCCCGTGACGATCGACGAGCTCGGATCGTCGGCAGTGAATGATCTTGCCGGAGTCATCGGCGCCCTCAGGGTGCGATCGTTTAATGCACCCCCCTCTTCTCTCGGAATCGCCGATTCGAGTGACTTTTTTTTTTTTCTTTAACGTGCGCGTTCTCGACGATGCGCGTTGCGACTCATTTCGTTATATGAAAATGAAATCATATCAACCAATGATGATCGTTTGATTGTTCAAACCGTGTCTTCGTGTGTGTCTCCGCTTGAATTCTCGCCGAGTATACTCTCGTCTCGCAATTCGCTGCAACAAAGGACGCCTCGTTAGAAGAAGCTTCTCCGTAAGGGAAGTAAATTTTCTGAAGCAGATACGACTAATTCGACGTTAGTCGCGCGTGGATAATAAATTTTACGAACTCGGCTCGACTTCCACGGTGCGCGATCGAAAATTTTCTACGAAACTCTATGAACGAGACATATGCTCTGCCCGTGCTCGAAGAACAAATAGCGCGGAGATTGCTGCTGTTCGCTCATTGAACTGGAAAAATGTATGCTCGATATACCTTCCGAAGGGACAATCGTGCGTGAAGTGTGTGTACCCCAACGATGTTCCCTTTTCTCACCCGTGCTCCGACCCTTCGGCGGAAATTTCAGATTGTTTTTTTTTATCTTTTATAGTTTTTGTCACCGTTTATTAATGTTTCGACAGACATAAGTGATCTTATTTCCTGAAAAAATGTTCCCTCGCTTTGACGATAACGTCACATATATCTCTCCTTTGTTTTCGTTCTACTGGTTTTCGTTCTCGTTTATTAATTTCAATTTTAACGCGACTATCTATTTTTCCTATTATTGTCAAGTAAAAAAAAACATAAATAAAATACATATTGATTGTTCGCACTCAGAGAGAAAGAGATATAGCGCGATATAATTTTATATATCAGCGTGACAAAAATGGACTCGCTGTTGTGACAGAGTAAACCGTTCCGCTTGCGTAATTAATATGCAGATACATGCATCAAGCCCTCGAACCGAATTTTCGGAAAACCGAAAAGCGACGGTCGGATTTTAAATTTACGTTCGATAAATTATTAATTAATGTAGTTACATCGCTAGAGGTTGTAACGAAAACTCGCACGGTCGCGCTAGTCGCTCGACAAAACCTAATTAATTGCAATGACGATGTAGTTTGATTCGAATGAGTTGCTCAAGCTGCTCGAATAACGCGAAATCCAATAGCGTTCAACCGTGGTTATGCGAGAATTTCCAATTTCCAAGTTGAGGTAAACTATACTCTCTCCCTCTCTCTCTCTCTCTTTCTCTTTCTCTCCTCCTCTCTCTCTCTCTCTCTCTCTTCACTCTCTTTAGCCCTTGGTGCATTTGGTACCACTGATTCGACAACGTTTCAACCCTGGGGGGAAACAGCCTGTGTTTAAATTACCACAGAATTTTAGTTACGCTCTCGCTCTCTTACTATATATATATATATATATACATATATCTCTCTCATTTATACTCATTCTCTTTCTTTCTCTTTAATTCTTGTGGTAACTTTTTTGTAGCAACAAAGCAGTCGACTATTTTTTTTTTTTTTTTGCAGCATTCTATTTGTGCGACGAAACAATTGTTTCGACGGATGTGCAATATTTAAGCTGCAAATCTGCAAAGTGACACTTCTTCGCGCCCGCTATTTTCACTTCCTTAAACTTTTCCCCCGGTAAAAGTGTCGGAATATACATCGCGCAGGAAGCGCATCAGTTTCCACAGACACTTGACTACTTGACAAGATCCGGTGTAGCTTTGATATGATAATGTTAAAGTCTGACTGAGACAAAACTTGAAATTTATTAATTTTTTCTAACATCTCTCTCTCTCTCTCTCTCTCTTTCTCTGTTTTCTCTCGTCCTGTGAAGATGTGATTCAATCACTTTATCAATCAATAAAAGTCTCAGTAAAAAAACCCTGATCCAATGGTATAAATGTCACTTACAAATGCCATTCGGTCTTATTTACGACACAAGTAGTTCAGAATTAAAAAAAAAAAATTGACATATTAAATGACAAGTAAAGGACATGTAAATAACTATTTGCGAGTTTAGTTAAATTATCTCACTAATTATGCACACATATCGTATTTAAATTACAAATTTAATTTGAAGAAAAAAACTTAATCAATTCGAAGCTTTTTTTGACGCGACATCTGCTTGCACGTTTTTTACATTACGGAAATTCATTTTACACGACTTTTTTTTCGCGTATGCAAATGCTTCCCACGCGCGTTTCACGTCGATGCTGCGCAATTTTCTCAAAAAAAAAAACAAAAAAACGCGCCTATTACAGTACAGGCTGGGTATTTCCAAGTTGTATTTCGAGAGTTGTCTTTTATCTTTTCGCGTTTTCCGACGCACGACCTTCCACAAAGCTGCGCATCGCGCGTCGACACAGTTCTCGCGAGATGGGAAGAGAAATGAATATTATCGTCAGATTACGCACCTCGATTCCGCGTCACTGGACAACCCGAAAATAGTAGATGCCGATGCCGAGTTATAAACGCCAGAATGTCGCTTGACGAGCAAAATTAAATTCCACGACTTGCACGCTAATTGCAGGAGACGATCGGATGATTAATAATTCACCGACGAGAGCGTAAGTTCAAAGTTTCCCGATCCACGTAGAAGAATTCACGGGGGAGGAGAATTATCAAAGTGGAAGAGAGAGGAAGAAAGAGAGAGAGAGAGAGAGAGATCGAAAAAATAATGAGAGTTTTGCGAAAAACGCCGATATATTTTTATCGTGAAAATTGCGCGGGCTGGCATATTTTTTTTCACAAATCAACGAACATGGATCCTAGAAGAAATAGACGAGTCAAAGAGAATTGACAATTGATCCACTTTGTAAAATTACGAACCGGGATTTAGCTGCTCTTAAATTCGTTTCTATTATTTCTCAGCTCGATTCGAGTTGAATCAGTTTAATTAACGCGAGGCACAATCTGAAATTTAAAAGTGCGTCACAATTGAAAAAAAAAAAAAAAAAACGAATGAGAGAATTCAATAAATTTGAAGAGTTAGTCTTCGCTGAAGTATACGCATTGTTAAATCCACTTCTTATCTCGAATCGAAACTTTATTGGATTTATCGTCAAAAATTATCTCGCGCAAATTTAATATCTCACAAATTTCAAAATATGTGCGTGATGTGAGATATATTGTGCGTATTTTTATACGGCAAAATACGGCGAAACGAAAAATGTTCAGAGATGCAAGTAAAATATTCAATGCTGCGCGATTTACTTTTCTATTATTATGATGAATTATGTTCTGCATCTATCAAATCTGTATGACTTTTTAAAAGCGCAGCATATATTTTAACGACTTTCGTTGCATGTGCGCACACGTATGTAATATTTATTCACAATTCCGTAACAAGATAGCATTCGGAACAGATAAATTATTTACGAGATAGGTATTCAATGAAAAGAGAAAGATTAAAGTCAATGCGATCGAATAAACAGACATATCGAAGTGAATAAAGTATGTCGCATATTTTAAGTGAAGCTGTTTGACAAAAGTTAAAATCAGTTTTTATTTTAACGAATAGTCAACGTTTGACGAGAAATAATTTTTAACTTCGAAAAAAAAAACGTAGAGATTGACGACCTTTATAGTTTCTTTGAAATATTATCGATCTTTTGAAAGGTCGTTTTGATAAATCATTGTTGGGGTGCGATCTCTTACTCGTATTTTTTTTTTTTTTTTTGCTGCGGCATTTACGTATGCAACCAACTCATATTGATCGAAAACTACGACACTCGAATTTGTCCAGTTTTTTTTTTTTTACTGGTTATCATCGCCGATATCTCTCTGCACCATATGTTTCGAATATGCTTCGTAAATATTCAACGAATCACTAAATTACAATTCAACAAATTAAATGATATCACAGAAGTGTACCTGCAGTTGTTTGTCCGCGGGTACATAAAAATCTCGTTCTCTTCAGATACCAAAAAAAAAACAAAAAAAAAAAAAAACAAAAAGAAGAGGAAAAACAACCTGAGAAAAACGCACCATAAATCGAACATGATACATCCAACTACTTGTCTAACTGGTCGCAGCTTCGTATCACACATAGTAGTAGTCCGTGTCGAGAGAGAGAGAGGTTTATTCAATATATTTCCGCTCAGATAACTCCCGTATCCAGTTCGAATAATTTTGCTCCGCACGCACCCCCGCACACGAAGCGCTTCGATCCATTGACGTGTCTCGCACTACACGTTAAGAGCCCGGCGATATCCCGCTCTCAAGAGCGACGCAAACGTTCGGGCAACTTTCTCGGTGATTTTGAATCCGATGATGAGGCAGACCAGGCGTCTCGAAGCGTTCCCATGTGATGCGCCAGCTCGAACGCTGGATGTTTACTTTGCGTCAGTATCCC